ATCATGTCATCACCCAGTCATCATGTCATCACCCAGTCATCATGTCATCACCCAGTCATCATGTCATCACCCAGTCATCATGTCAAAACCTTACACTACCCACTCATGTCATCACCCAGTCTTCGTGTCAAAACCTTACACTACCCACTCATGAAGCATGCCAATGTAAAGGTACATACATTCTGCATCACCTGACACAGGAAAATCTTGTGTATTTAAAAGACACCTGAGCAACCACCTAGAGCAACCACTTAGAGCAACCACATAGAGCAACCACTTAAAGCAACCACTTGAAGCAACCATTTGAAGCTACCACTTAGAGCAACCACTTAGAGCAACCACTGTCCCCACTTAGAACTTAAAGCAACCACTGAGAGCAACCACAGACTGTCCCAACTTAGAGCAACCACTTAGAGTAACCACTCAGAGCAACCACTTAGAGCAACCATCCAGAGCAACCACTTAGAGCAACCACCCAGAGCAACCACTTAGAGCAACCACTTAGAGCAACCACTTAGAGCAACCACTTAGAGCAACCACTGAGAGCATCCACTGAGAGCAACCACTGAGAGCAACCACTGAGAGCAACCACTTAGAGCAACCACAGTCCCCACCTAGAGCAACCACTGTTCCCACTTATAGCAACCACTCAGAGCAACCGGCCAGAGCAACCACTTAGAGCAACCACTGTTCCCACTTATAGCAACCACTTAGAGCAAACGGCCAGAGCAAGCACTCACTCCTCCAGCACAGACTGCAGAAATCCCAGGATGTCCTTGACAGGGAAGCGAGAGTTGAGCAGGAAGTCCTGGATGGTTCCGTCCAGGGGACACAACTCTAGCTCCAGCTTCCACAAGTTCTTTAGGAGGCCTAGCTTGGGGGGGAGCTGGGGAGGGAGAGGGAGAGGGGGGGAGAGGGAGGGAGTGAGAGAGGGGATGAGAGAGGGAGTGAGAGAGAAGGAGTGAGAGGGAGGGAGTGAGAGGGGGAGTGAGAGAGGGAGAGGGATAGAGGGATAAAGATGGAGAGAGAGGGATAGAGGGATAGAGATGAAGAGAGAGGGAAACAGTGAGAGAGGGGAGAGAGAGTATACCCAACGCAGATCTTCACCATCAGAACTTGCCCCTCATTTCTCTCCTTGGATGCACTCAGAAAAAACTACTTTATCCTGAGTTGTTGTTTTCTCCAGTCACACTTTTGTCCCAATTCTCTATTACATGTAATTTTCTTGGTCTTATCTCTGCTTCTTTAGCCTTTTCATGTTCCAGTCAAAGTGAAACAACTGAGGCCTACTGTGTCTATCTCCTGTTTTAGCAAAACCTCATTGGATGTCTTCTCACTGCCACAACTTCCCACCCGTCACCGAAGACACCACATTCCTGTAGTCCATTGTAACCATCTTTGGCAGACAAACGACAGCTCAGTCATTGTCACCATCTTCGGTACATAACAGACCCCTCAGTCATTGTCACCATCTTTAGCACATAACAGACCCCTCAGTCATTGTCACCATCTTTGGTACATAACAGACCCCTCAGTCATTGTCACCATCTTTGGTACATAACAGACCCCTCAGTGATTGTCCCCATCTTTAGCACATAACAGACCCCTCAGTGATAGCGACAAACAACAGTACAGGTCACTCCTACCTCCCGCAGCTTTCCGTTGCCGCGAAGGGAGAGAATCTTGAGGGCGCCCTGCTCTCCGATGTCCGAGGGGAGACTACTCAGGCAGTTCTTGCTCAGGTTCAGCTCCGACAGCGACGGGAACAGCAGACGACCTTGAATCTCCTCCGACTCCATGCCACACAGCTGGCGACACACGACACAACATGACACGACACACGACATAACATGACACGACACACGACATAACATGACACGACACACAACATAACATGACATGACACGACACATGACATAACATGACACAAGACATGATATGACATGACACGACATGACATGACACATGACATAACATGACACGACACACGACATAACATGACATGACATGACACAACACACCACAGGACACGACACACGACATAACATGACGAGGCATACACTGCTGTGCCAAGGCTGAACGCCGTATCTGCACTTTTTAGGATTTAAAGTTACGTGGCACTGCCATTGGAAACATGGGCATGTCCCT